TACATTTACTCAGATTAAACTTTTGATCTGTCATCTATGTTATATTACGAATAAAATATTGACATTTGCCATCTCCACATCATTGCATTCAGTTTTTTATTCACAATTTGTTTAGTGTCCCAACTTTTTTGGAATCCGGTTTGTATGATAAAACAGGTGTTTCGATATCGGCAGATGTTGCACTACTGCCACAGTTTCCACTTGTCATTAAAGATGCTGCGTTAATAAAAGGCCTGAAGAGAAACGGACCTGCTCGGCAGCGTCTGGAGGGCAGGTCAGCCACCTGGTACCAACGGTCGTCCTGGAAGTCATAGCACTCCACGCTGCGGATAGCTTTAGGTGCTTGGCCGCCCACCACGATCATCACCTGTAAGGAGATTCATTCAACCTTTATTTCTACAGGTTAGTTCCATTGAGCCTCCGGGACTCATTTACAAGAGAGACCTGGTTTTAATTAACAAAGAGTGATGACGACAGTGGACAATCTTAAAATAAAGCATTCAAATTGAGAAGAACAAGTGAAGGAAAATTATATTTAAAAAATGAAACAAACAAAAAAAAAAAGATTATAAGACAGAAGATTATAGAAAACTAAAAACAGGAACATCTGCAGGAACTGAACAGATGTTTGAAGTCACTTTGAGAGGTCAAAGGTCGAGAGCTTCAGATCTTTTTACAAGATATTCCAGGAAACAGGAGCGGAGTAGGAGAAGGTCCTTTTGTCTAGTTCAGTCCTCACTGAGGGAACACTGCAGGTAATGATGTCCTGAGAGCGCACGCTGTAGCTGCACTCACACAGAGACATGTAGGAGGAGATGTATGAAGGCAGCAGACCAAGAAGTGATTTAAAGATGAACATGTACCAGTGAGAGAGTCTGTGTGAAGTTAATGGTGACCAGTTAACCAGTGAATACAGGATGCAGTGGTGGGTACGGTAGTTACAGCCAGTTATGAATCTTAGTGCACCATGATAGACAGCATCCAACATCTGCAGCATCCAACATCTGCAGCATCCAACATCTGCAGCATCCAACATCTGCAGGGTGCTTGCGTTCACAGATAACGGCTGTGTAAGGTGCGTGCACACACCAGTTTATTTTTACAACAACTGAACTCGGTCTTGTTTAGCGGACCTTGGGGATGCTGACGGGGGTCCGTGGTCGCGTCCTGTCCGTCTTGATGAGGTGGCGCTGGTCAGCTGGGAGCAAGTGAAACTTCATCGCTTCGATGAGGAAATCTTTGCACGTGTTGTTGTTCTTTATTAAGGCTTCCTCCTCGACAATCTGTCAACAAACACAAACGTTCAACTTTTCTCACGGAGCAAAGTGCAGACTCACTGGTGCTGGTTTCTTTTTAATTGAATATAAAATGACTTTAAAAACTCAGATGTTTGTGTTATGAGGGCGTTTTACTCTTCACTGACATCAACAGCTGACAGGAGATGTTCTCCAAAGATTTGATTTAAAACACAGTTTTTCATGTAACCCTCTTTCTTTACATCACTCTTTATATATTTACATCACCCCCCCCCCCCCCCCACCCCACCCCCGACACCCTGGACTCTTACTGCAGCACCTTCAGTCGAAGACTGAGACCACCGAGGTGCTCCACAGAACAACACAGGAAGTCCTTCAAAACTTTTTAACTCCTCCCCCTTTCTACAATTAATCCTGCAGCACAATAAACTCATTAATTCACATTAACTCACAATAAACAATAAAGCTCATTTTAATTCCTATGAGGCCGTTTCAGGCGCTGGTTCTGTGCTGGATGCGTGGCTCAGGTACAGCTCAAAGAGCCGACGGTCATCAGAGACAGGTCGGTGGAGTTCTGAAGTCCACACTCGGCGGACAGCAGCTCCTGAGGACGGTGGATGGTGCAGCAGGATGGCGCAGTGAGGACGAGGAGCAACGGTCAGGAGGAGGCAGCGGGGCACGGTGGCCCAGCTAAAGGCTAGAAGGCCACTGGTTCCTATGGTCTTTGTGGCCAACGTCCACTCACTGGACAACAAGTGGACTCGTTACATCTGAGGATGACGTCTACAGATGAAGAGCTGTGCTGTTCTTTGCCTAAAGGGAACCTGGCTGAACCACAACACGTGTTCAGATATTCTGAGCAGATCGTGACCATCCGTCGGGATCATCACGGGGGGCTCTGTGTTCGTGAAAGAAGGAGCTGTGGAGCTGGACTTGGGAGCTGGGAGGGCTCTGTCCTGAGGAGCTGCACCACCTTGTGGCACGACAGAGGGAGGCTGCGACTGGGGGGCAGCCCCCCCGCCCTCAAGCAGGAGGCTGAGGAGCATTCAGAGCAGCTGTCGGTGCTGAACTCGAGCTGCGCTCTATTCAGCCTCATCTAACCTTTTATTAAACTTTATTTATTTACGCACGCACGTGTGTGTGTGTGTGTATTTGTACTCTTGTATTTATTTATTTGTTGATTGTTGGTTTCTTTATCTGGGACCTGAGTCTGAATTTCGTGCCGTTCACATCAAATGTGACAATAAAAATCCTTGAATTCTTGTGTAAGTTTCTTTGTACTGAAACTCTGGCACAACAGTTTCCTGTGGGATCAATAAAGTTCTATCTTTATTGATTAAGCCTCAAGCATGAACACAGAGCAACATCAGTTTGTATCATGAGCGGATACTGTTCAATCCTGACAACTCCGTTACAGAGACAAGAATCGTTTTAGGAGCGTGTTCCTGGAGATCAACAAACACGAGCAGAAACAAAAGGCAACACTTGTTGCTCCCATTTGTCATGAGCTCAACTCAAAGCTCGAAGACTTTTACTTCGCACACCAGCATGCATCAGGATGTACATAACACACCTTCATCTCAAATACTGTTCACAAATCTGTAAATCTGTTAGTGAGCCTGTCTCCTTTGCTGAAATGATCCATCCACCTCACGGGTGTGGCAGATCAAGATGCTCATTAGACAGCAGGGGTGCCTTAAGCCCCCACTATACTCCCACGTACGTACGCAGAGGTACGAGCGTACCCCCCAGGGCATGTCCGCACAAAGCTCAATGTTGACAGTGTCACACAATAAACTGCCCGGCGACGGACTGTTTTGTATGAGACACCAATGTATGAAATTTCTCTTCTTCATCCCTGATCTGCTCTTTTCTTTAGATGTTTTGCCAAGAGGCAGTGATCTCTTCCTCCTCCGTTGATGCCACGACTGAAATCTTTCAATCAACCTTTATTTCTACAGGTAAACCCCATTGAGCCTCGAGGACTCATTTACAAGAGAGACCTGATTTAACAAAGAAAGATGACAACAATGGACAACAGCAACAACAATAAACAGTTATTAAAAGTCATACTGCAGTTTTTTTTTTACATATAGGATGGCTAAAAGAAAAAGGTAACAAAAAAACAGCTAGATTCTAAGGTGAATGTAGAAAACTAAAAACGAAATGGTGAGAAATGAAGGAATTTGTCACGAGAGAATTAAACTCAGGTCCAGCGTGGCTGCAGGAGGGTCTGGAGATTTCCTGGTGGGCTGGTCTGATGTGTGGGCTGCAGGGCCAGCGCTCCCTGGTTTTTTTTATTTTTTAGATCTTTTTATTAACAACATATAAACACAGAACACCGCTGTGGCTGCGGCTGCCAGCGCTCGTTCTTTTTTCTCCGACCTGTCAATCAATCCAGTAGGCGTGTCAGCAAATGACCAATCGGCGACCTCAATTTTTCCCGAAGGTCAACGCCCCTCGTCTGTGAAGCTGCTCTGCAGCTGCTCAGGGTGTACGCTGGAGTATGAAGTCTGAACCCTCTGCATACAGTACACGTGTACGTACGCGTGGACGGACGGACGCGGGAGTATACTGGGGGCTTTAGGCTGCCCACAACAAAAGGCCACTCTAAAATGTGCAGTTTTCTCACACAGCACAATGACACAGATGTCACAGGTGTTGAACGTTCATCAGAGCTGTTGACGTGAATTAATGTTCATTTCTCTATCATAAGTACTGGGGCGGCTGTGGCTGAGTGGTTAGAGCAGTCGTCCTCCAATGGAAGAGTTGGGGGTTTGATTCCATCAACAGTCACATGCTCAAGTGTCCCTGGGAAAGACACTGAACCCCTCGTTGCCTCTGATGTGTGTCCTATCAGTGTCTGAATGTGATAAAGCTCTGATGAGTCTTTGATCTAGTAGAGAGATGTATGAGTGAGTAAATGAGACACAGATTGTTGTAGAGAGCTTTGAGTGTGTTGATCAGATAGAAAGGAGCTGTATAAGTACAGTCCATTTACCATTTACATTCAATTGGCCTCACAATCACAGAACATGTGTAACCACATCAGACCAGGACCTCCACATCCAGCATCTTCACCTCCAAGATGTTCTGAGGCCAGCCACCCTGACAGCTGCTGCAACAATTACTTTGTATAACCAAGGAATTTCTGCACAGACCGTCAGAAACCGTGTCAGGGAAGCTCATCTGCATGCTCGTCACCCTCATCAGGGTCTCCACCTGACTGCAGTTTGTCGTTGTAACTGATGCGAGTGGCCAAATGATCACATTCAATGATGTTTGGTACGTTGGAGAGGCGTTCTCTTCACGGATGAATCACGGTTTTCACTGTACAGGGCAGATGGCAGGAGAAGGGGGTCTCTGCAGACCAAAAGTGGGCGTTTCTGGCAAATAGGCGTTTATAGACGGCGAACACTGATTGGCTAACAGTATTTAATAGGCGTTTGTCGGCGGCGAACACTGATTGGCTATGGGTAACCCTCAAAGTCACGAGGATTATTGATGAGGTAACGTTTCTTTGCGATGTTTGACAAAGAAGTATGATTTATTGTACTTATAAAGTATGTTATGTTTTCACTTATGCATTTTATTGAAGTACGTTTATTGTAGGTCACGATAGTTTCGACCGTTCTCTCGTTGTTGTTGTAACGCACTGAGGTAAAGTGAGCCTCCACAGCAGCTCTCACTGTGCACGTTTACAACAACTGGGTGTTGCTTTTCAAAATAAAAGCTGAAATAAATGTTCTTAATACTTGAAAAATAAATATTTAAAAGCTGTGTATAACTGAAAAATATGAAAAACAAATAAATAAAAGTTGTTATTAGCTGAAAAACAAACAAATAAAAGCTGTTAATTATATCTATGTCTTTCTGCCATGTCAGGAACCACTCTCACTTCAGGTTGACTCTAGAAGACCCCAAGATGTTGCTCAACAATGTTGACCAACATCTGATGTTGACTTTCAAAATAAATCACCTCCAAAGTTTAACATAGTTCATAGTAATAGTCAAAAGTTGCTGACCTTGTTGCAACATGAGTTAACACGAACATGAGTGTAAATTGTCAATGATTCAATAATGAGTAATAACTTATTCAATAATAAGTCTGTAATTTGTCAATAATAGTCAATAATTCATTCAAGAATAGATTATGAGTGTTTGGTATGGCTCAGTGGCTAAAATGGGTTGGATGTTAGAGAAATTACTTAATTTTCAATTACCTGAATGCACAAATTCCTTCATTTATAGTTAAACTTTAGGAAATCAACTTTTTTTTTCTTGTGAAAAAAATATCAAAATTACCTTTTGGTATTCATTTTGAATAGATTGGGGAAGGAAAACAGCCCAGGCCGTGTAGAACTGCTATTTTGTAAAAATGTTGTGCTTGGTGATCTAATCATATTTTTATTACAATTTCAGGTGATGTGAACTGGAGGAAATATTCTGAAGAGTTTCAGGCTGAGCACAGAAAGCCTTATGTCATTTCTGTCTGCTTCAGCTGTGGAGAAGAATTTAAAGACTGTGCTGCAGGTTTCTGGGGCAGCGGCAAAAGAGGCGAGCTGAGGGCCTTCCACAGTGAAGCCATTCCTCCTGGGTACTGCAGCCACTTTGTGCCATGGATGCAGGGTTAGTAGTCCAGCTCTTGTACTGTGATGCCCACACATTACAATAAGTAACAACTAGCAACACCCTAACTGTGCTATGTTTTGTGTTTCCAACAGATGCTACGATGACTTCTAAAAATGGATGTCCCAATAAACAATAAAAAAAATTCAATGATGCATCAAATGTTGTCTGAGTATGTTTTAAGGTAATAACAAATGTGAAATCTGGAAAACAAAGACAATTCCTGAATCTCTCTTGTGTGCTTTGATGTGTACATAAGTTTATTGGAGGTCCTGAAACAACTTTTCTGAGAACACAAAGATTTTTATTTTACCTTTGGCCAAGATGTCAGTTTGAAATCAGGCTGCTTACTGCAAAACCAAGAGTTTTTTTAAGACGGTCTTCATTTGTATTGTTTTGTCGACTAAGTTAAATGTAATTTCTAAAATATGGATAATCTGATCTCATCATGCAGCATAAGCAACTGGGTATAGGTGTGAGGACCAAAAGTCTGGTTATGTACTGACTCCTAAATGTGCTGGTTTTCTACTGAAACATGGAGTAGGGTTGACCTTTAAAATGTGAGACAGCTGAGGAAGTTAACCAGTAAACAGAAATACCTGCTCCAGTTGCAGAAATCTTACAGAAACTGACAATCACTCATCTGCAGTGACTGCAAGTTGAACAAGACAATGTGAAGTTAAAGGAAACATCCTTTGTCCCAAGGCCAGTTTAAGTATCATTAATATTCTTCTTTCTTTATTTATGAATCGATTGTAACTTTGTTCACATTTTTCAACAACCAAAATGGAATTTGTTTTTTTAATGTTATGGCTAGGTATTAAAAAAAACCCTAACATTTAGCTCTCCCCACTACCCAGTTATGTTGCTCTTATTTTGAAATGTAACCGGAAGTTCTGTGTTAAGAGAGTCGAAAAAAGAAGTTATGGAGACGCCGCGGCAGTATACTGGAGCGATGTCGAACCGAGACGCCGCTAATGTCGAACCGGTTAACACCATAGACATAATATGCCTGTGGTTAACACAATCTGCCAATAACGCCTTGTTTTTAGACATCATGTGTCCGTGGTTACGGCATTTTATCGTTCAGCCTTTTTTTTTCTATCGTTCAGCCTTTTTTTTTCTATCGTCCAATCAGATGTGGCCGTCCAGACACGCCCATTTTTCTATCGTCCAATCAGATCCGGCCGGCCAGAAACGCCCATTTTCCTATCGTCCAATCAGATATGACCGCCCAGATACGCCCACTTTCCTATAGTCCAATCAGATATGAGCGCCCAGATACGCCTTCCGAATTTGCCTGCAGAGACCCCTTCTTGGATGGCAGACTGAGTGGCGTCGTGTTGGTGACCGGTTTGCTGATGTCAACGTTGTGAATCGAGCGGCCCGTGGTGGAGGTGGGATTATGGTCTGGGCAGGTGCATGTTATGTACAAACACAGGTGCATTTTATTGATTGATCTTGAAGGAAGATCTTTCAGTTCTCAGGCTCCTCTCTTGTGGAACCAACTTCCAGTTTCTGTCCGTGAGCCTGACACATTGTCCAGTTTGAAGACTTTCCTTTTTGATAAATCCTATAGTTAGGGTTAGCTTGTTCTGCTGCTATAGGCTTAGACTGCTGGAGGACAAACTGACCTCATTTTTAACTGTGCTACTGTCTTTATTTACTCTGCTCAACCTGTTTTTTATTTGTAATTATTATTTTTTCCACCATTAACATGTATTTTTTTGTCTTTCAGGGACACCTGGACCTATACCTGGACTTGGACCTATACCTGGACCTATATCTGGACCTGGACCTATATCTGGACCTGGACCTATA